GGCTCAAACATAGCAATAATTATGAGGATGGCATGGGCGGTGTTTTGTTCTGTTGTGCATAGGGTTGCTATGAGTCGTAAACTACTTGACGGCACTTAACAACAACAACCATGACTACCCTTCACACACACACACACACACACACACACACACACACACACTACCACCACACAAGAAGATGGTGGTCAGAAATTGCTGTCTCATTTGCTTCTTCCCAATTTCCCAGATTCTGATATACTCACTCCTTCTCCCTCCCTCCTTCACTTCTGATAAATCTTGTTAATCCTACTGTATAGTCACACATTCTTTGTTATAAGATACACATAATTACCTCAGAGACACATCTAGGATAATGTAAACCTCATCACCAACCCTCCCCGACTAGTGGGAGCAACCCCTCACCAGAATCTTCTGCTGCAGTCTTTGATGTCGCCAGTTTCACAAAAAGCTGTGGGACCAAAAAGAACAAGGGATTGGGAATGCTGGGCCAGCCTTCCATAGACAAAAGACACTGAAGTGCAATGGCTAAGAGGAAACGAAGTCAAGTTCATGTTCATCCTAAATTTCCTTAGTTAGAAAAATGCTATTGCCACTGGAAAATATCTATAAAACACCTTGTGCTATGTATTCCTAAAGACATAGCTCTGTCCTCTGGTGGCTGACAAACCTGGTATCCAGCTTTTAAAAAATTACATTTATAATCCACCCAAATAGGAGGCAGACTGACCACAAAGAATACACACATAGCTGAGTTTTGCAAAGAGATGAAAAACTTCAGAATACCTCTCTACCTCTTACCTTTCCATCTTCTACCCCATGGTCCCACTTCTCTAGATCTTTCTTCAATCCCAACAATACACGAGGTTTTTTCTGGTTCGCAAACCCTACGAACCTTAAGGGTCTTAGGCTACAAATCCATTCTTTATTGGAATTTTTCATTGACTTTAGCCTGATCTATATAAGTCTCAGATTTTCCAGGCCATCAGCCCTCAAACCACACACATATCCTCCCAAGTACCTTTTCTTGTTGTTTTGGGTTCACCTGGTTGGCACTCTTGTGGACAGCCTGCTCTGCTTCATCCTTGTCCCGGCATTTCTGCTCATAGTTCTTCTTGGCCTATGTTGTTAGGAATCAACAGATGAACAGACTGTACCCATGAAAACCAGCCAGCCCACCCATGGCACTCTATGAGGGTTCTGATCACCACAAGACCTTGGACTCTTAGCAGGAAGACACACTTGCTTATTCATCTTGAAAGGTCTCTTTATCCTTTTCTAAATTACATATGAAAAGACAAACCATAGACTAGGAGAAATTATTTGTAATATCTGACAAAAAAGACTGTTAAGTGCTGCCAAGTCAGGTCTGACTCATAGCAACCCTGTATAGGGTTTCCAAGGGGTGACTGGTGGGTTTGAACTGTTAACCTTGCCATTAGCATTCCCGTGTTTATGTTATAGTGCCACACCAGGACTAATACCTAGAAAATAGGTTCTCAAAACCTCTCAAAGTTCAAGGGTTAAAAATTAAGCAATTAGAACATGGGCAAAAGATATGAAGAGACATTTCACCTAAGACGATAAGAAGAGAGCAAATAAGCACATGACATGATGCTCAACATCATTAACAATTAGGGAAATATGTGCAAATTAAAATTACAATGAGGTATCATTACACACCTATAAAAATGCCTGAAACATTTTAAATAATGACATGAAATGCTAGCAAGGATGCAAAGAAACTGAGTCTCTCATTCATTGTTGGTTGTGAAGGGAAAATGGCATACTCTGGAAAACAGTTGACTGTTTGTTAATATGACAAACATACAACTACCACATTTCTCAGCAATTGTACTCTTGGGCAATTATCCAAAAGATAATATTCATACAGATGCAGCTTTCTTTGTAATACCCAAAACTGGCTCTTCCAAATGTCCTTCAGTGTTGTTGTTAGGTGCCATCAAGTTTGTTCCGACTCACAACGACCCTATGCACAACAGAACAAAACACTGCCTTGGTCCTGCACCATCTTCACTATTGTTATGTTTGAGCCAATAGCTGCTCCACTGTGTCAATCTATCTCATTTGCCGGTGGTGGGGGGCAAATGAGATAGATTGTTGACTCTCTACTTTACCAAGCATTATGCCCTTCTCCAAGGACTGGTTCCTCCTGATAATATGTCCAAAGTATGAGAGACAAAGTCTGGCCATCCTGGCTTCCAAGGAGCATTCTGACTGCACTTCTTCCAACACAGATTTATTGGTTCTTCTGGCAGTCCATGGTACTTTTAATATTCTTCTCCAACACCATAACTCAAATGCATCAATTCTTCTACATTCTTTATTCATTGTCCAATCTTCACAGCATGTGAGGCAGCTGAAAAGACCATGGCTTGGGTCAGGCGCACCTCAGTCTTCAAACTGACACCTTTGCTCTTGAACTTTAAAGAAGTCTTGTGCAGCAGATTTGCCTAATGCAATACGTCATTTGATCTCTTGACAAGCTGCTTCCATGAGTGTTGATGGTGGATCTAAGCAAAATGAAGTCTTTGACAACTTCAAACTTTTCTTCATTTATCATGATGTTATTTATTGGTCCAGTGGTGAGGATTTTTGTTTTATCTACATCTAGGTGCTATCCATACTGAAGACATCTTCAGTCATCTTCACTTCCAGCAAGGCAGGTTGCATCATCTGCATATAGCAGGTTGCTAATGAGTCTTCCTTCAATCCTGATGCCATGTTCTTCTTCATGTAGTCCAGCTTCTCAGATTATTTGCTCAGCATGCAGACTGAATAAGTATGGTAAAAGAATACAACACTGCAGCACACCTTTCCTGATTAAAGCCCTTCAGTATTCCCTTGTTATGTTCAAATGACTACCTCTTGTTCTATGTACAGGTTCCTCATGAGCACAATCAAGTGTTCTAGAATACCCATTTTTGCAATGTCAGCCATAGCTTGTCATGATCCACACAGCCTTTGCATAGTCAATAAAGCACAGGTAAACATCTTTCCTGGTGTGATGCTGCAGATTAATGTAGTGAACTACAAAGTCAGTTTGAACCGCAAGGTTGGCAGTTCAAGCTTACCAGCTGCTCCTTGGAAACCCTATACAGGGTCGCTATGGGTCAGAACCAACTCAATGGCATTTAACAACAACAACAAACGTCTTTCTAGTATTCTCTGCTTTGGGCCAAGATCCATCTGACATCAGCCATGATATCCCTCATTCCACATCCTCTTCTGAGTCTGGCTTGAATTTTTGGCAGTTCCCTGTCGATATACCGCTGCAATCGCTTTTGAATTATCTTCAGAAAATTGTTACTTGCATGTGATGGTAATGCTATTGCCCATTCCACATTCCATCGGGTCACCTTTTTTTATAATGGGCAGGTAGCTGTCTTCCAAATTTCTTGGCATAGGTGAATGAGTACCTTTAGTGCTCCATCGGTTTGTTAAAAGATTTCCATTTCTATTCTACCCATTCCTGCAGCCTTGTTTCTCATCAATGTCTTCATTGTAGTTTGGACTTCTTCCTTAAGTATCATCAGTTCTAGCCCTTGAAATAGTTGGGCATCAGCCATTTCTTTTTCTTTCTTTCTTTTTTTTTTTTTTTAAGTTTTTATTGTGAATTATGTGGGTATACATGGGAGAACATCAGTTTTACATTCATCCTATCCTATTTCGTTTCACTACAATGATTACAATCCCCTCCATGCACTATCAAACAACCAAAGGGAACACCCCACAGACCCGCCCCCCGGGCCGTCAGCACACAGCCCCTCTCCCTCCATGAGTCCAGTGTCCCCAACCACTCCATCTGTCCACGTCATCATCTCTGCCTCCATTTCTGGCATCACTGCTTCCCTGGATAGGGTCCCGCATTCCGTTCTTCTCACTTGATGGTCCCATGGACCTCCGCTCCTAGACTGCAAAATCAATCACTCTTCTCCTTTTGTTACAAAACATCTAGCTTTACATTTCTGACCCTCACAGTCAGTCCTGATAGCAATTATTCACTATTGTACTACAAGAATGTTATCCCCATCTCCTTTCATTAGCCCCATCCCAGCAGATTTGGAAACCATTCAGTGGAGATTCTACCTTCCCCCACCCCATCTGGAACTAGGCTCCCTCTTGAAAGCTTGTAAGCTAGTCACTTCTTGCTTTTGTAGCAACCCTCATTTTGGGCAGCTAATGTCCAAGTTGCCCATCCCTGTCAACCCTGTGTACCAAGCAGGTGGGAGTGATCCTCACTGTAAAGATTTGTTCCCTTTCTTGAGCTACTACATCCATAAGTATAGGTAAAGTTCATCAAATTGTAACAGATTACTCTTTTTTTTTTCCTCTTCTTTCTTCTTCTAGTCGAGTTCTGATCATCCAGCCATTGAAGCCAGGTCAAGTGGGTACTATCTGCAAGTGTGGGTGTTTCTGTGCATCTCCCCTTACTTCAATGGGGAAGCATCAGCTGAGTGCTTCACTCTCTGCTCTAGTCCTCTGTGGCCATGTCACTGCCTCTGGGTCCAGGAGTCCTGGGCCTTGCCATACTACTGGCCAACCAGGTCTCCACCCAGCTTCAATAGAGTCTACTGAATATGGTCAGACCCAGCTCCCAACTTCACTGCTGTTTCCACCCCCGCCCTTCCCCCCCCCATCCCCTTATTGGTGACCAACGTGGTCACCAGCCAGACCACATGCCTGTTCATGTATTACCCCCGAGTCTCAGTCTTGAAAGGGGGTTTGCTCTGAGGGACCTGACCACTTGCCTTGATGGCACCCGGGCAAACAGCTTGCTTGTTCTTGTAGTAATCAATTAGACTGCTGTTATTGTTTTTTTATTTTTCCTGCCAGTCTTTCTTTCACAAAGTATCTCTGTTCTTCTAGCTGCTCCAGGATGGTCTACTTGTCCTTTCAAGTAGAAATTTTCTACCTCAGATGATTCTGGATAGGGTTCAGGGTCCCACCCATGGTCTTATGCAATGTAAAACCTCCACAGGAAGCCTCTTTCACTGGGCAACTTCTACCCCCCTTTAAGGTATTCCAATCAGTTATAGGCTGAAGAGGGACTTACAAGCTTTCTATTGTGATATTTCTGATATTCCTTTCTCTCCCCATCAAGTGCCTATTTTACAATGGCAGTCAGCCATTTCTTTTCGGTACAGTGACTCTGTGTATCCTTTCCACCTTCTTTTGATGCTTTCTGCACCATCAATATTTTGCCTGTAGAATCCTGCAAAATGTAGAATACTGCAAAATGAGGCTTTAATTTCTTCATTTCTTTCACCTTGAGAAATGCTGAGTGCATTCTTCCCTTTTGGTTTACTAACTCCAGGTATTAACACATTTCATTATAATACTTGACTTTGGCTTCTCAAGTTACCTTTTGAAATTTTCTGTTCAGCTCTTTTATGTCTTAATTTCTTCCATTCACTCTAGCTTCTCTACACTCAAGAGTAAATTTCATAGTCTCATTTGACATCCATTTGCATGATATCACCATTAGAAAAAAGTGGGTCAGGATATAGGGGACCTCTCTGTCCTGCAGTGGGTGAATGATTAAATAAACTGCAATGCACCCATAACATGGAATACAATTCAGTAATAAAAAGGAACAAACTGTTGATATACACAACAACTTTGATGAATCTCCAGAAAAGTATGCTGAGTGGTGGTGGGAGTGTGAGGGGTAAGACAAAGATTACATACTGTGGGATTCCAGTGATATAACATTCTTTCTCTTCCTTTCTCTCTTTTTTTATTGAGATAGAATTCAGATTCCATTTAAAACAATTATGTGGGTTTTAGTATCTTTTAAAAATGATGCAATACATAAGATTCTTGAAATGACAAAAAAATTGTAGAAACAGAAAATATTACTGGTTGCCAGAGCTGAAGAGGGGACAAGAGAATGAGGAAGTAGGTGTGGCTTTAAAAGGGAAACACACAGATCTTTGTGGCGATAGAAACTCTGTGCATCTTGACTACATCAATGTCACTAACAACAACAACAATCATGTTTGTGGATTCCTGGTGGAGTGCTGTAGGATCAGCACTGGACTGTGAACCACAAAGTTTGGCAATTCAAACCCACCAGCTGCTTCTCAGAAACCCTATACAGGGTCACTGTGAGTTGGAACTGACTCAACAGTGCTCAACAACAATATCCTGTTTGTGGTATTTTACTTGGTTTTGCAAGGTATTACCATTGGAAGAATGTGGGTCAGGGTACATGGAACCTCTCCATATTATTTCTTAAAATTGCATGCAAATCGACAATGATCTTATCATTCAAAATCATTTAGTTCTCAAGACTGTATTTGCAACTCTTCTGTAAAGATTACACAATGTCGCCCTTGTTAGCAGTGAAGTTTATTTTTTTGAACACACTTCCTTTTTTTTCCCTCCCAACTTTTTATTGTGGATTGAGTGAAGGTTTACAGAGCAGATCATCAGTTTTACATTCAGCAAGTCATATACTTTGCATCATTACATGGTTGCAATCCGCTCCATGTACCAACAGTTAACAGTGTTTACCTCTATTCACTTTATCTATTGCATTCCTCCCTGTGTCTCCTGCTGCCTTCATCTTTCTTCTACTAACCTCCCTCTTGTTGTATAATGCCTGCCCTGCCACCCATGTTAACATATGTCTAACTCCCTAATCCTGTGAACACACTTCCTTTTCTTTTAAAGCAAGCAGGATAAAAGAGGATAGGAAGAGAATACAAAAGCCTACAACATAAAAACAAACAAACATGCAACTGCTTTTTTGCATCTGACTTCTCCCCAAAGAAAAAATGATTCTCATCCTAGGAAGGATATGAGAAATATGCTGAAGAAAAACAGAATCCTGTCACAAAATAAGAGATGTGAAGAGTTCACCTGGCCATGGAATACATTTCCATCTCAGCCTAGGTAAAAATTGACAAGAGACAGAAAGAAACCTTGGAGCACTTCAGTCGTGTTAAGGATGAAAAGGGGAAATGTCGGAAAGCAAGATACCGGCTTCATATTCAAAATGAGGCAAAGGGTGTGAAGATCTCAAGCTTATCATCAAGCAAAAAAAAAAAAAAAAACCAAACCAACAAACCACAAAGTGCAGAAGACATTACTAAAGTGATTTTTGAGTCCTTAGAAGAATCAAGTGGGAATTGCTAAAGAAGGCATGCATTCATTAGATAAAGTATTTCTGTTATAAAACCGTATCTACTTTCCTGAAGAAAAAACAAACAAGACCAAAAACCTTGTATTCCACAAAATTGCATGTTAAAATAACAGGGCTTATGGGGAAATAAAATTTAAAGTCTAACCTGCTTCATTAAATGAGTTTTTAATACAGAGGAAATGTCTCTGCAGCGCCTCCATCTGCTTGTGCAGACAAGCTAAACATCATGGAAAGCATGGCTGCTCTCAAAGCCATGAAATCAGCCACTCCGCCACAAAAGGAAGACTCTTTTCTATGTTTTTAGCTTTTCTTTAAGGTCCTCACACAATAAGGCCTCTTTAATTGGGAGAAAGATTACCCCATATTGCTATAAAATTAATAGTCTAGGGGGAAAAAAATCATGTCTCAACCAACACTATTTCTGTATTATTCTGATAGCAACCTGTATCAGTCGCTTCTAAGGTGATCAGCACCCGAGTAAAGCGCACTGCTGCAGAACAGACTGTATGTGCCATTGCTGACTCTTTCTCTTTGGACTGGGTCCCTGGATCAATGCCATAGCCACAGAGTATCCTAAGGACACTTCTGTACAAAGATGGAGTCACAGATGTCCCCGTAAGAGAGTTCCTTGTATCTCAATTTTAACCGACTTACAACAAACAGGAAGCAAGTCCTCAACAACTTGTATTAACTCTCTACTATTAAGCCATTTGTTTTAAAAAGAAAAAAGGGAAACAGACTTTTCTAATTTGCAGATGTCATGAGACAAGAAGTCACTCAATAAAGTAAGTGAGAAATCGAGATTCAACAGAGTCAAAAGGAAAAAAAACAAAAACAAAACAGCAAGATAAATGGCAGATACAGTGTTCATGCTTCTGTCCCTTGGTTTGAAATATTTCAGCTGACTTGCTAACTTCTCCAGGTTACCAGAAAGATATTGTGTTCTCACTATCTGATGTCATCATCATTCCTTCCAAGGCCTTTAAAAAGAGGGAAAGCTAAACCAGTGAAGCTTGTTTTCCCTAAAACACTGTACTAATAAATACTAACGTGATTGGAATACAATTTCAGTAGGAATATACTCAAACACAGCACAAGATTTAGGCAAACAAAAAGTGAAGAAAGTGTAACTCACATCCATGGTTTTCTTGAATTGTAAGTTCCTTTGTTTATGGGCAGCATCCATTATAAGCTCAGTCTGTAAAGAGAGACCAAGTATTATTAAAAATAAAAACGGAAAAATATTATTACTATTAGCTAATTGTGATTGAGACTAAGTCCTCCTCCTGGATTACCTCATCTAGTCCTCACCTATGGTAGGTGTGCTATTTCTAACCCCCATTTTACAAGAGGAAACTGCAGCACAGAGAGGACACACAATTTGCCCAGGATCTTATGACTGCTTAGTGGTGGGGTCCGCCTTTGAACTTGGGCAGTCTGACATCACAGAGGCTCCTTAATCACCTTAGAGTAAATCTGAACTTAAGGAACTCTGGTTCACAAAGAGACTTCAAAACTTTTGTTAAAAGTAGTTATTTGTATTTCAAAAGGGGGTTGTTTTCTGTAAATGTATACAGCACAGTTATTGTTGTTGTTAATTGTCAGTTCCAACTCAAAGTGACTCTATATAACAGAATGAAACACTGCCTGGTCCTGTGCCAACCTCACAACTGTTGCTATGATTGAGGCCACTGCTGCAGCCACTGTGTCGATCCATCTCATTGAAGCTCTTCCTCCTCTTTGCTGACCCTCTACTTTTCTCCATATGATGTTTTTCTCCAGGGACTGATACACGTTCTCTTCTGTGATATTCATCAATGATACCCACTTGACCAGCCAGGAGTCCAGGCAGCATGAAGGCAGCTTAAGAAAAGCTGTGTCGCTGCTCTGTATTCCTTCTAGTGCAGGAAAGGAGATCCTGCCCTCAACTACTAGCCAAAAGGGGGCGGTTTGATTCCGCCAAGAGACACCTTGGGAAAAAGACCTGACAAGCTACTTTTTTATATTATTATTATTGTGAACTGAGTAAAGTTTTACAAAGCAGATCATCAGTTTGCATTCAACAAATCATATACTTTGCTTCATTACAATGATTGCAATCCCTTCCACGTACCATCAATTAATAGGATTTACCTCTATTCACTGTTTGTTTGTTTTTTCTTCTATAGTGTGGTGTGTTTTTTTAAGTTTTTATTGTGGATTGAGTGAAAGTTTACAGGGCAGATCATCAGTTTTACATTCAACAAATCATACAACTTGTTTAATCACAATGATTGCAATCCCCTCCATGTACCATCAGTTAACTGTATTTCTCTCTAGTCACTTTAGCTCTTTTTTAAAAAAAAACAAAAAACACTCAGGCATATATAATTTACACCACCAAAGGGCACATTCTGCCTCCTGGTATCCATCTCTTAGTCCCTCTCTTCCCATGAATCTAGAGTCCTCAGCGGCTCCCTTTCTCCATGTCCCCATCTCTGTCTCCATCTCTGGTGTCACTGCGTCTCTGGATAAGGTCCCACATTCCACTGTGCTCTTCTCCCTTGATTGTCCTAGGGTCCTTTGTTCCTGGATTAACTGCTCTCCCATTTTTGCTACAAAACTACTACCTTTACAATTATGAGAGCCGCAATTAGTCAGGATAGCAATTACCCACTATTGAATCGTGAGAATCTTAACCCCATCTCTTTCAACCAGACCCATCTAGACAAGATGAAAACGATTCAGTGGGCTGACAATCTACTTTTGGGAAGGAAATCAGTCATTTTTTTCCACAATGGAACACAGTTCTACTCAGATACACTGGGGTTGCCATGAGTCAGAAATGACTCAACAGACAGCTGGCTTTTATTACATTTATTTATTTTTAACTATTTATTGTGAATTGTTGAAGGTTTATAGAGTAGACCATCAGTTTTACATTCAAGAAATCACAGAACTTTGTTTTATTACATGGTTGCAATCCCCTCCATGTACCAACAGCTAGCAGTATTGACCTCTATTCACTTTAACTATTGCATTCCTCCCTGTGTCTCTCACTACCTTCATCTTTACTCTGCTAACCGCCCTCTTGTACACTGCCTGCCCTGTCACCTATGTTAACATCTACTTTCTAGCCCGGGCATAATTTTCCTCCCCTCCACCCTAGTAAGTATCATCGACTGGTTATTTTATCAAGAAAACTTTTTCTTAACTTTTTACAACATTGTCAGCAGATAGTTGGTTTTTAATGCAGCAAATGTAACTTTGTCTGTTGAGTTCACCTGGGAGTAATTTATCTGCTGTTTTGAATGTTAGTGCTTTGATTAGTCAAAATAATGGAATAATAGATAGATACCTCTCAGATGCAATAATAGTTCCCAGTTATCGAGCACTTATCATGTGCTCAGCAATATGACATGTGTAACAACAGTGATGTGAGTACTTTGTTGTTAGGTGCCATCAAGTCAGTTCCGACCCATAGTGGCTCTACGTACAACAGAACAAAACACCACCCAGTCCTGCTCCATCCAAACAATTGTTGCTTGCTGGAGCCCATTGTTGCTGCCACTGTGCCAATATCGTTGGGAGTCTCCCTCTCTTTCACTGACCCTCCACTTTACCAAGCATGATGTCCTTCTCCAGAGACTGGTACCTCCTGATAATATGTCTGAAGGATGAGAAGTCTGGCCATATTGGTTTCTAAGGAGCATTCTAGTTGTACTTCTTCCATCACAGATTTGTTTATTCGCTGGCAGTCCCTGGTATCTTTAATACTCTTCTACAACACCATAACTCAAATGCATCAACTCTTCTACAGTCTTCCTTATTCACTGTCCTCGCTTTCTTGATGGCAAACTGATATTGATTAATTTACCCAAGGTGACACAGTAAGCAAGTAAAAGAATTGAGATTTGAATCTAGGAACCAATGCCCTTGTTTCTAATCCACCACCCTAAGTCAACACTATTCTTATGACAGTTCTTTTAAAACCAAAAAGAGGTACAAAAGATATAGATATGCTATAGTTCGGAATAAGCAATGACATTGCTTTTGTGCAAAAATAATATAATACAAAATTACAACATGGGAAATGAAACTCAGATGTGGTTTCTCTTTCTTCTGGGTCCATAGTTAAGTTTTTTTCTTAAACCATAACTCGCAAATGCGGTTGGATGAATTCTTAAGACATCTGAACATAATACTTGAGATGGTCTCACTTTAAACATGAGCTTTATTGAATACATTAAATTCCCTTTGGGGAGCCCCAAGGGACCCTCAGCAAACCAGGCAGTTATTTTCCAGCCTAGCTGAAAGTATTGGGTCTGGAGGTGGCCATGCACCTGCTAGTGGAGAGACAGCTAAGCCATGAAAAACTAACAGAGCTCCAATATGAGTCCCCATGGAAGGACACATGCATGGATCCTTGGAACTGCAGGTGGTGGGCTGTGGCTCACATGAGCAGCTGTGTCTATCCGCCAAGAGGATGAACAGAGTTTATTTAATGATAATTCCCTATTTTCCCAGGTTATAAAACCTGGAAATTTTGGTCTAGTAATGTGGCTTAGTCCATGGTCCTTTCTGATCTGAATATACACATTGTTACATGTCCACTTGGGAGCTATTACTACTTTGTAGTTCGTGGCCTAAACCAGCCTCCTATCTCCAATCCTACACAACTCCTGTTTCAAGTACCTTTCAGGTGGCTGCAAAGTTCTATCATTAGCCAAACCATTTTACTTCACAATCTGTCTCCTAGGATTCATGGTATTTGACAGTTGGTGGGATATTTAGAGAGCAGCAGTGCATTCCTCCAACATGGACGGTGTACCCCTTGGGGCCAATAGATGATATGCTTTGTTCAAAGCTTCTCAGTGAGTTAGGGGCTGAGCCTTTGGATAGCAAGCCCAGCTTTGCTTGCGTCACACCACCTTGATTTAAGTCTCCTTTAGTCTGTGTTCACTTATTGGATGATTTCTTCATGGTGACCCCAGGTGAATCAAGGATTCTCTTTCAGGTCTCCTTGGGAAAGCGTTGCTTCTAGGGCTTTGAGATTTTCAACTCAGCCCAAGTTCAAGGGGATTTTGATTGCACTTTATTACTGATAATACAGGGGAACACAAAAACACAATCAGCTCTGCTACAGAGTTTGGAGAAGCAAGAGGGAGAGTCAAAGGGAAAGATTTGCCAAAGGCCCCCATGACCCTGCCGTAAATCATGGTTCTGGCTGCTCTGTGGCCCACTGCCAGCCTACCCACACTCAGACTATGTTCTCAAAACTAAAAACATCACTCTGTACCCAAGAAGGTGCTTTTCTTTGTAGAAGAGTCTCTACACAGGTGTCCCCAAATTCTGCTGTGGTCATTCCAATCTTAGTTGAGATGGTAAAACAGAATGTGGGTACCAGAGGAGATCATGACTGTCTGCCTGCTAAAGATGTTCAGGCTGGGGATCGAACCTGAGCACTTTCAAAAGTCAAGACCCCTCAGAATAGCTCCTGGAATGTTCCGTACTTTGCTAACCTCCAAGAGAGGTTACCATCTCTTACTCCCTCACTCCTACTGCCTCTCATTCTGCTTCTTTTAGCATCAATGTCGTTATCAGAAGCCTCCCTGAGCCCCATAGGTGAGGTTAGTTGTCCACCTGTATGGTCAGGTGGCACCTGCATTCCTCTATTAGATCTGTCTCTATTGTCTATTTTATATCAGGACTCCTGTCTCATGTCCATCTCTGTGGCCATACTGTAGCTAAGCTTAGGGAGAGTGAGCATGTCTGCATTTGTCGAATGTGATTCTGGCCAGTGGTCCCACCCACACCTCCCCCTCTCAGTTTACTATAAGAAACCAACTGAAGCTTTCCTTGATGAATAGAAACAGCTTAAGTTCCAAGCAATGACAGACTATGGCATGCCAGATTTGACCAATGAAAATAAGAAATCTGCACTGACACATTTTCTCCCAAAGCTTGGTCAAAAAAATAAATAAATAGTGTCTAAATAGTCTTGGTGTGGTGCTGTGCATTAATGCACTGGACTGCAAGGTTGGTTTGAACCATAAAGTCAGAGGTTCAAGCTCACAAACCGCTCCTTGGAAACTCTATACAGGGTTGTTATGAGTCAGAACTGACTTGACAGCACTTAACAACAACAACAACAAATAGTATCAAAAATGGAAGTGGTACAACACAGAGTTTACTGTGACGTAAGTACTAACAAATTTATTTATAAATTGTGAACTTCTCAAAGTAGACTCTGAAGGTCCTTCCCTGCTGTGGAGAGCAGAAGTATGCAGAGCACTTGCATGACAGTAGCAGATGGAACAGTCCACTCATCTTTTAGCAGTGTGAATTTGATCTTTGCCCTTTGTTAGCACAGGAAGTTTCAGGACACTTGCAAAATTAGCACAGTTCTCCCTGAAATAACTAGGGAGGTTACTAAGGGCTCTTGAAAACATGAGGGAATGACCTTCCTTCCCTCTTAGTGTAAACCATGTGTGCACAGACTTTGGTTGTCCAAGGTACTGTGCTAATGAAATGTTTGTAATCCTCCCTGAGATGTGGGCAGGCCTGGCAAAAAGGATTTGGGTCTGTTATAAGTATAATGTACAAGCTATTGTTACTCTTTAAAAAATTGTTTAGGATTTGCCAGGAGCAACAGAGGAAGGAGGTGTGTTGGGAATAGGAGGAGGAATGGAATATGTAGCTAATTGCCTCCTTTGCCGTGAGACAAGAACCGGGTGGTGCCTGGCTACTCTTCCTGAACATTGGTTGTGAACAGGAATTTTCTAGAAGAATCCTGATCCAAAGGGAGAAATAAACCACAGAATGTGAAATCATCATGAAATCCACATTTTCAGCAACCAGGTAAGTGGATGAACCCCCAAAACTATTGCTCTGAAATAAGCTTTGAACCTTAAACTTTAAACAAAAGACATCCTCTGAAGTCTTTCTTCTTAAACCAAACAATACTTTTAGCTCACCTAGTGAGCATCAGCTTGAGCAGTGTGCTGTTTTTAAGAGCTATCTTGATGGGATCAAATTGACAATAGCAACTCTAAGGATTAGACAGGAACCAGAGAGGGGAATGAGTTTATGCTAATGGGTGAGTTACTACTCAGAAAAGGAAGAGGAGAATAGTAGCAGAGCTTGAATATAATCACTGGCACTGAATTGTACATGAAGAACTGTTGAATTGGTGCATATTTTGCTGTAAATATTCTCAACAACAACAAAAACGAAAATACATTATATATATATTACGTGTTGTTGTTGTTAGGTGCCATTGATTCGGTACCAACTCATAGCGACCCTATGCATAGCAGAATGAAACACTGCCCAATCCTGGGCCAACCTCACTACTGTTGCCA